ATTGGTCAATGAGCCTACAGCACCAAGGGTGACGTGGATGCAGCTAGAAAACAGCAATTACAGCTTCTGAGATTTTGTAAAGAAATCAGTGAGAACTGACAGTTGGGTGTGTATTCAGAGCATTTAAGGCAGGTCTAATGAAGATCCTTGTGTTTGTTCACATAGATCTGCTGCCTAGTGAGGAGGAGGCCGGGGCTGCAGGATTACTGGAGGAGCTGCATTTGGTATATCAGGTGACAGAATCATTTACACGGACCAAAGATCTTTTGGACAAGCCAGTTTTGAATGCTAGGTGCACACCTCACATGCATATGCTTGCACCTTCACATGGTGCAGAATTTGTCCTTTGAGTAGAGGAGGTGTTATGCTGTATATCCCATGAATCACTTTGTTGCTTTCTTTGTAACAAGTTAAAATAGTGAGTCAACTAATTGAGCTTGGAAAACAGTTTAATCCTACTACAGAACATAGGGCATCTTTTTTTTTTTTTTTTTTTTTTACTGTCAATAATGCTGCTTCATGTACTATTCACAGATGTTAAAAAACACATTTGTAAGCTGTCTGATCTAGAAATGTGTGGACCCACAGCAGACGAGTATTATTTTGCAGCCTCCATCCCTGTGACTTCCAATTTGCATCATCTCTGTCTTGTTTTATTACCACCTTTACAAACCTTCAGAGATAGAATTTGCTGAAATGATTTTCCTTATGCAGCTAACCTGGAGCAAAGATCCATACTAGGAGCCATAAGTTGGCACAACAACGCATCCATTTCTGTGAGACAGTGTGTTCAGAGAGAGAACAGCATCCTGCTTCCTTTGTCTGACAAGAAGCTTCTAAGGGCTGAATTCGGATAGCAAGGCCTCATCAGTAAAGTTGGCCTGACCTTAGTTTGGGGCTGGGGAGACTTCCCAGTGTGAGAAGCTCTGTGACTGTAGGGTTCTGCTGTAGGGTTCTGGTGCGGCCTTATGGTGCTGCTTGATGGCTGCAGAGATGCACAGTGGTGAGTTCATTATTCCAGGAGCCCATGGTAAAACTCACTTTAGTACCTACGACTGTGTTGTGCCTGCTGTATGAGCTCTGACTCTGGTTGCTGTCTCCTATGCTCCTATTTCAAAGGAGGAACAGTCAAAGTCAGGCTGTTCTGTTGTACAAAGCCCCGTCCCTGTGGTGTGAGGCCGTGCACGGTGCAGGATGGTCAGCCACTTTTCTGACCTCCCTCCCATCACCTTCCTGTAAGCTCTGTAAGCAGAACCCAACAGAAGGGGCAGCACATGGCTGGCCAGTGAAATCTTGCTGTTTTAATCACCACTGCATTCCACAGTCCTCTAGTGAAACAGGGGCATGCAGATAATGGATATTTTATGTCAGTACTTTGCTCCTATTGAGCAATGTATTTCCCTACTTACATGTCTGAGCTTGAAATTATTATTCATTTTTAATGAGCTATAGCATGCATAGCTAATGTAGAAGCTTAATTTTAGATAGAGACTGTAGTTTTATCCAGTAGGAAACCGTGTTTCTTGCTGCTATGAGCTGGGTTGAAACAAGGAGTCCATTGTTTGGTGGTGGTTCCAAGGTGCAGGTAAAGGTAATTCTCCTGGTGCCTGAATATCAGCTGGTGGATGCTGTCATGTATGAACTTCCACATGTATAATGTAATGGTCTGTTCCATTGGCTCATTACAGAGCCTCTTAAGGGTTCACACCCCTGCAGGTTGAAAATGGGACTAGCTCAGCTAACAAAGAAGCAGAGTGCTCCAGTGTTGCTGGAGTGCCATTGTGTTCATTGACATCCTGTTATCTGGTAGCTAGAGAGCTTGCTCTAGCTGAGCTGGTTGCCCAGCGCTACCTACTGAGGATTTGCAAGGGCTGCTCTGACTATAAAACCTCCTGTTTTATGATGTCAGTCCACAAAGCCAGAGACTGGTGCTATGGCAGTAGGGGTTGAACCTTCCCACCAATATTCTGTTCCATTTTGTTGCTGTGTGACAGATGGCAGCAGAGGGGCAGTTGGACAGAATGATGCCTGGTGTGGAAGTGCAGATGAAGCAAAGGTGTGAAGCTGAATTTCTCCATGGGGAAAAAAAGGCACCACTGACATTCTTTGATGCTTGCTGAATGTTGATGGAGACCAACCAGTAGATGTGAACACAGGGAGGGATGGGTGACACATTTCAGCAGGGTGACAGTGGGTCATCTCCGCTGGTGCAGATTTTTGTGAGTGTGGCATGGAGGTTCTTGTTCATCACTACAAACATGGATAGATAATGGTGGTGCTTACGTTGAAAAATAGTGTTCTGCAGCTGAAAGTACTCTATCAAACAGTGCTATTTTGCCCTTTGTAGCTGTAGTAGTCTCCATGGAAATAAATAGGAGGCATTACTTTTGGAGTAACCTACATAGGATCTAAAGATCTACCCAATGGTAAATTCAGCAGTATAGTTGCCATGCTAAAGGAAAGTGCCTCCCTAGCTCAGAATTCAACCTATGTGGTCAAAACCTCAATTTGTAAAACCATAAAACCTGATCTTAATGTTCTGGTGGTAAAGTTTTGATAATGCTGGATGAGGGGTCCCAAGGAGTATCTCAGTTTTAATGGATTCTAGTGATCTGATCCTCATCTGCTTCATAGCAGTTGCTATTGTCAGTGCATCTCAAAATGTCAGAGGGTACAAATGTAAGAGGTCCAGCTCTCAATCAAGCCAGACAACAAGATGCTAGACAAAGAGACAGAAATGCAGTAAGAGGGGATTCTCCCAGCTTTGTTTTCTGTTGTGTCATACTTCTTTACCTGTTTGGCTCAGATCCTCAGTTCTCATTCCGTGTTCTGTACAGTTAGTTGGGAGTATAGTGTAGACTTCTCTTTGTTTCTCCTAGTTCTATCTTCTTTTTTGTTGTTTATTTTAAAATTTCCAGCAGTGAAGGATAAATTTAAATTACTATATTTACACTGATTGCAAGTGGCAGAGCAACACCAAGGCCCTTCTGCCCCAGGTACTCACTGGAGTCTGTTATGGGTGGTAAGCATATTCATTCATCTAGAAGCACCCTTGTTAATGCTCCCTGTCCTTTCTAGTTGTTTATTCACTCATTAAAGATGAGAAACAATGGGAGGTGATCTTACAGTAGCACCAGTGACATATTAAAATTAAAGAGCTGTGCTTCTAAGACTTGCATTCTCCTTCCATAGGCCAAAAAGAAAAGAAAGACCTGAGCAAACTCAGTAGGTAGGAGATATGATATGAAGCTCGTTTAATTCATGTAATTAAATACAGAGGTTTGCAAGATGAAAGGGGACCTGGGTAAATTAAAAGAAAAGCCCACATGGAATGTATCCATCTCTTGAGCAGATTCATAGGAATTAAAATGATGTGAAGCCTTAGCATCGAAGCAAAGATAAAAATGGCTGGGTATGAACCATTGGCCAGAACACACTTCTGGTATGAATTCAACAGCGAGTAAAACTCTGTGCTTACAGCCTTACATCAGTGAAATGCAGTGGTAGCTGTCTTTCCAGCATAAAGAAAAGTCATTCAGGATCTTTCTGCTACAATTAGATGGTGTTGGACTGGGATGAGTGTGTGTCCAAAAGACCTGTGCCACCATTTTAAGAGGAGGACCACGAGACACTTGAGATTGTATTCTTGTGTGTCTCATCCCTGGAATAAAGTGCAGCAGGGTAGGTCAATGGTGGGACTTAGTGGTCTCTTCCAACCTTAATGGTTCTGTGATTCTGTGATTCAATGAATCAGAAACTTTTGCAGCGTTGAAATCAAAGCAAATAGAGGGAGTGAAGTGTGCAGAAAATGAAAGCACATTGCTGTGAGAGTTATAGCAAAGACACCGAGACAAACTCAGCCCTGAAATAGGTGAGGGTGATTCACATGGACTTAAGTGGCAGCTGAAGCTGTTCAGACATGTGTAGAGATTGGGCCAGTTTAGCTTGAAGTATTTTCAATCCCACACGTGAGAGCATCTCTACTTGCCCAGGGAGTGGTTTTCATTGCAAGAAGCCTTTTGTTTCAATCGTTGGGATTTTCCATGCTGCCAGTTGAGTTCAAGGCACTTCAGCATCTGCAAGGCACCATCCATGAGTGTCAAGGAGATCCGGAACTGAGGCCAATAAGCAGATTTTAGAGGAAGAACACATACTTGACTTTGTACATTTTCCTTTATCCTCCCTACAACAAAAGTTACCAGACCATCCAGATACACGTGCAGTGTGAGCACTCTCCATTTGCACTCTGAGTGCTTAAGTTATGGGTACTGAACATGAAGATCAGTCTTCACTAGTAATGAGCAGAGATTCCCACGTTCCCAGGGAGTGGGACACATTAAGCTTGGCAAAACTTTATGAAATTAAGATGATGAGTTGATTGTTAGGGTTTACTGCTAATTAATTCTCAGCATTTGGCTAGCCTTGTTCCTGTCTCAAAAGAGCTTTGTGTTCCCACCAGCAGCCATAATCTTCGAAGCCCATGGACCAGTGTTGTTAATTCTAACGAGGAAAGGGTCGCTTCAGCACTGACAGATGCTGCAGAGGCTGTGAGCAAATGCTGCAGAATTCCCCCTGGAAGTCAGCACGTAGCTGCCTGCTGGCAGGTTAGGTATCCCTTACATGCATTTCTTTCTCTTCTGACTGCAAGAACAACTCAGCCTTCTCCATTAGACAATTCTCGGATATTAATTGCAGGTTTATTAGCTGGCTCAGAAGTGTTCATTGGTGTGAGAGCCGTAGGGCCTGGCTTTAAGCAGTGGAAGAGCACCCCAGTGAGCTCGATATGGCTAAGCATTTCCTGAACAGAGCTGCAAAAGAGGTGAGCATCTGGCGGAATTAATGGCCTGTAATTTTTCTGGAGGTGATTGCTGAGTGAGAACTGCTGCAGCAGAGCAGAGATCACAAGGGTGAGAACAGGTTTTCTTTTTTCACCAAAAAAACGTAAAGCAAAACAGAAAAAGTCAGACATGGAGGCTATCTAAAGACATTGATATCTCCCCAAAGTTTCAGCTGACAAGGAAAGATTTTATGGAAAATTCAGATGGGCTTTGCCAATAAATGACACAGATATGCTGCCTGGCACTTCCAATTTTCTCCCTTACCTCAACTTTTAACTCTTGTCCTATGTATCTGTTTCAAGTTAAACACGTTTTTTCAAACTTTCAAACTGAGGTATTTCAGCTGTTTGTATTGCAGCTGTTTCTTATGTGCATCCTATCTTATGTGTTGTTTGTTTGTTTCAATGATTTGTTAAAATGTACTGGCATGCTGTTGCTTGGGAAGGCTGTTACTACAGATCTGTTGCTTTACTACTTCTGTGGAATTAGCCCAGATTTAGTCATTATGAACCTCAAAACACCTGCAACGTCACCTACTAAGGAGACACTTGTTAGAGTTTGCCAGCCAAGCTCAGAGAAGAGTCTGTAGTGAACGTGTTCAAACACAGGCACACCTGTGGGCAAGCCTTGGTGCTGATTCCTCTTCCAATTGACGGGCAAAAGCTGTGAGTTATAAAATACAGGGAAACGGGGTTTCCTGTCTTCTTACCAATTCCTGGGCTCCTGTGCCAGCTGCAGCAAATAAAGAGGGAAAACAAGGTCATCTGAGGCAGAGGATGGAAATAAGAAGGGGATGTAATGAGAGAAGCAGATAAGGAAGTAAGGTGTGATGGGTGCTGAGCTGGGATTTAAGACCAACACTGGTTTTTTGGAAGACTAAAATCTGGAGCCAAAGGTGAGCAAAGAGAAGAATCAAAGCAAATACAAATCCTGAGTTTGGCTACGTAAAGAGGGCTTAGAACCAAATCCTGGGATCTGTGCGAGGGGTAGGAAGCAGTGGGGTATCTTTATTGTGAGCACCAAAGGCAAAAAATGCAAGCAAATGAGAAATGGTGTATTAAGAGCTAAAAGGAAGGCATGTTTTCAAATGAGGAGGAAAGTATATCAGCCTGTTGCTTTTTGGGGACTATGTTTCCTGGAAACACGAAGAACGCTGGAGTCCGATGGAAAAATAGTGAGTAATAGCAGATAATACAAAAAAAAAGTCTGAATTATAATTGTACAAACAATTGTTTGGAAAGAGGTAGGGTGTCTGCAGCTCAAGCTGCTTCTTGGGTGGAGACCCATAGGCGCTGAGAGGTGGGAAGCAGGCCATGGCTGGGCCAGGTCCCACGGCCTCTGCTGCATTCAGTCATGCAGGGCTCAGCTCCTCCCAGCCACAGCAGCCAACAGGCACCGCTCCCTTGCTGTGCCTGCAATAAACAGCAGTGTTTTTCTGGAGTATCTGCAAAATCTAGCGTGGGTTTTAAGGGTTCTCCACTAAACGTCCATGAAAAGATTTCCAGGTTTCTGCACAAGTTGGCTGGATGTTCTTCTCAGACCTGATTGCCCACTGATATTATCAGGTATCAGCGAGATCCTCAGCTGGAGCAAAGCTGCTCTGCTGCATGTAATAAAGTCCTGCCCCACAAGGAGTGCCAATACAGTAAGAAAATCCCTGCTTTAGGACATGCCACCACTCGGGCTGGATTTTAAGGCAAACTTTAAGTGTGATTGAAGAAGTGCGTAGCGAAAGACAGGGACGTTGTGGAGGCTGTGGCTGTCAAAACAGGAATTTCAAACAGGTCTGGGTGCTGAGCTGGGACTGGCAGATGGGCTGAGCAGTCCTCTGGGATCCTCCCCACTTTTGTTTTGCTCTGAGTTCAAGGCATTGTAAAGTCAGACTCTCCCCTTTGCTTTTTGTTAATGGCAGTTTTCCAGATGCTTTCATCTATATGCATACACAAGAAAGGTTCTGTCCTGAGTGAGCCTACCAAATCCAGCCAGCACTCTGATTGCAGGTCTTGGAGGGCTCTGTCTGTGATGCATGCATTCAAAGCCTGCCATGCACACGAACTTTTTGCAAAATACTCAAGTACTGTCCTAAGCATTTCTTCACGCACTGTCTCCAGTGCCACAAAAATTTCATTCCTTTAAAGTATGGGCAAGGTGTTAATATTCTTGGCTGGCTGGCAACCTTACGAATACCTTTGACATCGAGCTTGGCTGTGTTTCTTGTTGGGTCTGCCAAACATTTTTTAGATGTCAAGCTCTGGGATTTATATGCTGGGAAGCACATGATATTCTGAGGACATAGAGTTAACCAGTTTTGCACAAAATGTACTAGTTACGTAAAAGTCATATTTTAAAATGAAATCAGTGCCTTATGGAAAATCCTAAGTAAAGAACCAGGATCTGGAGCTCTGTTTATGCACGGTGCATCCCTAGGATTGGCTTTGCAGGCTTCCCTGCCCTTGTAAGTCACCATGCTTCAAGTTCATCCAAGAGGTAAACAGCTAGCTGAATTTCCATCTCCACTCCTAAAGAAAATGTTATCTGTGGCGGATTCTATGTTGTTTTCCACTTAGGATGTGTGTCTGAGGATCTCATTTCCAAAAGCCTAGGTAACCAAATAATGCTAGGCATTTTGAAGCTTAGACTAATGGCTTCCTCCCCAGATCCCCTGAAGTTCCATTGGTTTGGGTTAGTGAGCAGAAGAGAGCTTTATTTGAGGAAGATGTCCTGCTCTTTACTTGGTCCACCCACTGATTTCACTGTAGATAGCTTTGAACTTCCAAATCCCTCCAGAAAAGGAGGTTGTATTGTCTGTCAGGAGATTGCACAAAAAAAAAGACAAGTGGGCCAACTTTTTCCATTTGCCCCTTAGATTTTGAGCTTTCAGACATCTCAGATGCATTTTCAAGTATTTTTCTACTACTAAGAAAGAAAATAAGTGTATTTTAAGTGTATTTTTTCTCTGATGGATAGAACAGCATGACCTGTAAATAGAGCTGATACTCTTACATGATCACTTGGTGCCAGTAGCTGGGTCTCCAGAAGGAATGTCAAGGATCTGACAATTTCTATTAAAAGTGTGAGAGCTGCAACACTACTGTCTCTGTCAGAAAAAAGATGGCTGTGGGATAAAATGCTTATGATCTCTATTGGCAGGAGTTCTCTGTGTGAGCCTCTTCCTGGATCAGAGTCCCCACTGTTGCTCATCATCTTTTTAATTAAGGTAACATCTCCCCTGGTCCCTCAGCTTTACCCCGAAGAGGGGTAAGTCTTTAAAATGAGACAACTGGAAAACTGAATTGTGATAATACAGTCTGGGGGTGGCAAGATGTGAGTCTCTCACAAAAATGCTGTTATTTCTGATAACATCTTAACAACGGAAGTATATTTATTGTAACTTTATTTTAGTTCCTAGAAAGTAAGATATTCCCAAACAGCTGCTGGGGGATGGGAACTCATGTTATCATTCTTGCCACCAGATTTTCTGAACTGCAGAGAAAAATTGATTAGAGGCTTTCAATGAACTTCAGAGTGTAGAGATACACTGGATGGATATGCCTTCACTGTGGAAAGTAGATATGAGTTATTACTAGGTATATTCCATAATGGAAAGTCTCAATTTCTAGGTGGATGTGGATCCACCCTGAACATGTCTTTGTTTACTTGTAGGATGGCTTCCTGTTTTTTCTTATCAAAGACATTCAGCTGTGAATTAAAATAAAGAGGCAGGCTATGATGTTACTGTCTTTAAAGGATGTGAGGAGGCCTTTTCACAGTGCTCTGAAGGAGGTGAACAACTCTCCAGGGTTGTATGAAGTAACAGACTTTCTTACATAACTCAGTTGTTAGGTCAACTCCACCAAAGCAGGGGGAATCAGAGCTACAACAAACCTGGCCTGTTTTGGGTGATGTTTAGCCTGGTTTCCCATGGAAATGCACATCTGTGTCCTTCTCTTCCTTGATATCTTTTGAAACTACTGGCCAAAGTCAACAATATGTGGTTGAAAGGAAAGATTTTTCAGTGGTAATTAAGCTCTTAGCTTCTACCTAAAAGTAGGAGGTCAGGGAGAGGGCTGGCTTGGTTTGAACATTTACACTTTTGCTTGTAATCTTTTTACTCTTTCATTCATTCTTTTGCCTTAGGTTCTCTGAGGATTTCAATATGGTTTTAGGAAGAATAAATATTGGAATTCAACTGTTTGACTTGAAGATGAAAGTAAGGCTTTATTTGTATTCACCTGTCAAATGCATTGGAAGTGAATGAAGTGCGTGCAGACTTTTCATCTCTAAGAAGGAACCACCGTGATTATCTGGTTTCCATCATGTATGTTCTCAAAGTTGCCTGAAGAATTTCTTCATCTGGACAGAGGTTCCTGCTGAAGCCAGAGGATCACTTTTAGTAATGAATTGTATTCTAAAATTTGCTAGAGACTTCATGACATCTCAGCACATCCCAAAGTGTCTGATTCTAGTAATTAATTACTCGCAGAGGTAGAAAGTGTGCGTTTTATTTCTAGTGAATTTATCTACTCTCGACTTCAGTTGATGGATCTTGTACTTTCCTGATTGATTTAGATCTGAACTGCATCCTGTATGATGTACATAGAAAGCTGAGTAGTCATTTCTTGACTTCTGCTTGATCAATTAGATAAATTATCTTGATTTGGTAGATATCACTCTTATAAACCTAGAAAAAATTCATACTTCTTTCTGATCCTTTCCCCATATTCCACCTTTTTTTTCCTTGAAAAGTAGCCCTCAGAAGTGGGGATAGCATTCCAGCATAGTCACAATAATGACAGAAGTAGCAGCATTGTATCCTCCTGCAGTACAAATGAGTTGAGCCACGTCCTTCCCCTGTCATAACATGAAGGTCAGTTGTGAAGATCTCTGAATACGTGAAATTAAATAATTTAGTATTCCTTCCTAAAGAAAATAGTGATGGAATAGATCATAGAATCATAGAATGGCTTCAGTTGGAAGTGACCTCAAAGATCATTGAGCTCCAACCCCTGCCATGTGCTGGCTGCCCCCCAGCAGCTCAGGCTGCCCAGGGCCCATCCAACCTGGCCGTGGGCACCTCCAGGGATGGGGCACCACAGCTCTCTGGGCAGCAGTGCCAGGGCCTCACTGCTCTTTGAGTGGACAAATTTCTGCCTGACATCCAATCTAAATCTCCCCTCTGTTAATTTAAAGCCAGTACCCCTTGTCCTATTGCTAAGGTAGAGATGAGCATATCTCTATTGATTTCAGTGACCTTTATGTTAGTTATGAATTGGTTCTCTGGTAACAAAGTATTTAGGTTCATCCAGGATAGAAAAATCATGAATGTTTTCACAGAAAGGCCTTCTGAGTGAGAAAAAACAGGGTAAATTCCACACTTTTCAGCATACTGCTTCTTGAAATATGAATAGCTTAGGCATCCTCCTCTGCCCCAGACCAATAAATCAAAAACAAATACAGTGTTGTGAAATAAAAGAACTTGTGCCAATGAAATTCTTCCAGGGAATGGAGACCAGAGACATAAGGATCTTTCAGGTAAAGTGCATATATGTGTGCATAAGATTTTTTTTTTTTGCCCCAGTGATTATACGTCAGGAGAGCAACAGTGAAATATGAACAAAGGACGAGGTTCTGTTTTTCAGCTTTGCCTGTGGAAGAATCCGAACTTTTTGTCAAAATCAGCACTTCATTACAAGCTATTGAAGCCAGTTTAAAGCTTCCATTGAGAGCCATTCGCTGAGAGCATGAGTCACTGTCTGTGTGCAGAATCATGCAGTGATTGATGCGGCCAGCGAAGGGCTGTTAGCAGAGAGCCTTAAAAAAAAGATGGAAATGTAGTTTACATGTTGGGCACAATTAATCCCGAGTGTAATTCTAGCTGAAATCCTTTATCAGTCCTGAGTTGGTGGCAAATTCAAGTTTTAAGCGTGCTGCTGTGATGCATCTCTGTCTGTTGCAATCAAATGGCATTTTAAGAAGGACAGATGCATCGTCCTGTTTGCTCTGTTGCAGGCAATATGCAGTGCCCTCAGTGTGTTCCTGTTGTTGGCTGCTCGCTCCTGAGGCAGCACAGAGACATCCAAACGTTAAACAAGTCTCTTGAAAGCACTTCGAAACACTTCTGCAAAGCCCTTGCAATACGTGCAGGGTCTGCAGCACAACTGCAGTTCTGCAGCTCTGCGAGGCTCCAGCCCTTGCTGCTGCCTGCTGAAGTGACCCTTCCCTTGCACAGCTGCAGCACCGTGCTTGGAACGGGCGTCCCTGGGTGCTCTCTGCTCTGTGGGAACGCTGCAGAGTGCAGTGATACTCCTTCACCTCTCTCATCTTGCTCCCAGCTACATCCATCGTGCACTGCGCTTCCTTCAGCTGCCCTTCTTCCCGTTGGGGATGCACACTGATAATTTACCCACAGGGACTCATCTGGACCAAGAATATTTAGAAATATCCGTCATCCTTTTAAGAATGTTTCTGATTCTGGAACGTGATCCCATCTAGGCTGGTGGGGAACAGCTGTTTCAAGTAGGGAACTATCGAGACTGCTTTCCAGTGTTAAGCAGTTCGAGGTTATAACTCAACAGACTGCAGCTACTGTAGAAGCAGTAAAGCATATAAGGAAAATGGATAAAATGAGAACAGAGCTAAGAATAAATAGGTCAGGCAGCCTTGAGTACTAGATGAGGAATAAATGAATTACTGCATTGTTGGCCAAACTCTCCTGACTGCTTGGACTAGCAGAGGTCAGAGCTGCAAGCTATAGAAGATGGCAAAAGACAGCCTCCATTCATTAAGCAATGAATCTGCTTTATCTCAGCTTGAACTGTCCCTTACTGTAGGACTGGTTTTCCTCTGAGAGCTGAGGGCCAGATTAAAGCAAGCATTTGTTCATTTGCATTCCATTTCTGGTTTGCATGGAGCATGCCAGCATAGAAAAGTGGATTTGTGAGGACACTCTAGTGCAAGGTAGGGAACAATCAGGGCAAAGTGAGTCTGGGAAGGAGCTGCTTACCACGGAGTGCTTCCTACAGTACCTGTACTTTGCCTTGGTGGGTGCAGAGCCCTTCTGAGGTCTGTGTCCCCTTCTGAGACAACTGGAGGACCTGGGAGGCAGCTGCAAAAAGCACGGCGCTATCTCGTGCTTGTGTCTGATGCAAAAGCACAACTGAGCCATGAGCAGTGCAAGAGAATCTTTATGTGAGGTTCAACAAATTCTGCTTTAGCTTCCGTGAACACAAACCCTAACCCTGCAGGACAAACGTGGCACTTTGGGTTGGATTGTTTCGTTAGCAGAAGGACTGAGGTAACAGCTAGACTAGCAGGGCCTATCTGGGGCTGTGATGCTTCGGGGAGCATGGGAAGGGTGGGGTTTTTTTTTCATGTTTTGTTTTCCTATATGCTTTTATTAACATGCCTTACTGTGGCTCTCAGGGTACTGCTGCTGGAACAAGAAACTCGTTTCTTTCTGTGGTTTTCCCCCCTTGTTGGGGCCACTCGTGCGTGTTAGTTACTGCCAGTGGTCATGGTGCATTACCAGCATATGGATGGTGGGCCTGTGGCCCTAAGAAGTGCTGGCTGGAGGCTGTGACTGCTCCTTCTGATTCTACTACATTGGAATCTGATGGGTGAAAAGCTGTGAAATCTATTTCCCATCCCCAGACCTCATAGTTGTGGGACCAACTGTGACTTCTTGTGAGAGGGCTTTAGAAACAAAACAGGAGTACAAAAGAGTTCTGCAATGTTTATTTGCTTTGTTGATTTGCACTGTATTCACAGGAGGAAAAAAAACATCCCAGGCTTCTGCTTTAACAGAATCAGAATCCCCAAGTGTGCACGAGGTTACTACTAGCAATTCAGGTTTATTGCTTTTTTTTTTAGGTCCCTGTGAATCTCTTATTTTAAAATGAAAGAGAAAACATCCAGACTGCTCCAAATGACTGCATTCTTATGCCGTTGTCCTTTGTCATTTTCTTTCATTCTGCACATTTATAAAAACGTAACTGCTGTATGCAGATTTATATTCCAAGTGAAATGTGTGCCCTGAATTCTTTACCTTAATTGGAAAGGTATCGATCACTTTCTCTGTTTTCACCGTGGGCCTGATCCAAAGCTGGAAGAAGAACATTCCAGCAGTCATCAGCTCTGGTCTGTGTGTGACAGACACAGGGCTGGCTTTTTGCAGTGGGAACAGTGGATTTTCCATTCTGTTATTTTCCTTTGTAAAAGGACATGGAGTGATTTTTAAAATTATTTATACAACTGTATCCTGATAAGATACAACTTCCTCCAGTTTAAACATAGCTACTGTTTGTTTCTATAGTATTCAGCAATGTTTATGAGGCTGGGGAAGAGCCGTAACACAGAGCAGTGGATGCTTTTCAAGAAATTTCCCCATTTCTTTTTTTCTGAAAATGTTTGGTCAGATTCTGATCTCGGTTACACCACTAAATCAGCAGAACTGCCTCATAGCCACTGGTTGGCCTGAGTTTAAAGCAGCTGCCAGCAGTCCCTACGATAGGAGCAAGGCTGGAGAGATCACCACTCTTTGGGAGAAGAAACTTCTCCTAATGTACATTCTTTCTATTTGGATTGTATAGGTGACAGTTCCTTGCACCACCAAGACATGTTTTATATTACCCCAGCCTTGGGTTTTGTTCAGCATTATACCTAAACCTGGATCTAACCATTGCTGCATGCTCCAAATCTCCTGAGCTGAATCCAAACATCATGAATTCAGGTGATTGTCATAGCACTGTGTATTTTGGATAAGTAGATAAATATTCCAGTCAGTTCCAGGCATTTCAGGGGATAGGGGTGATAATTTATCTTTATCACCCTGTATGTTCCATCTTGAAATTCTGCCATCAGGCTCTTGTCATATATAAATACCATTTTTCTATTCTAGGCTTCCATTTGCTAGAAATAATCGAACCACTGCAATGCATTGATCTGTAAAGTGCCTTGCAATATCTTGAGTGTGAAAGCAGATAAAGTCAAAGTCTGGTCTGTCAGCACCTTAAAAAAAAAAAAAAGTCATCTCTGTGCTGAGAAAATTATGATGCTGTCACCTGTTTTTGAGCTGACATCTTGCACTGGTATCACAAACGCTCTAACAGTGCTTGGGAATTGGCAAAAACGTTATAGCCAGTCTTGGATTTATGGATTGTGTCCTTCCCATCAGCTTTGCAGGCTTTCCTAACAGCCTTTTTGTTCTCAAAAGTCTTTTGTAATAAATTGCATTGACAGCAAAATCAGGATATGTTCAGATTTTTTCATGAAATCCAAATTTCCATACAGGTTTTGGAACTGATTCTTATTGAGGGCTAGGGTACAACACAGTGTTTTCTAGACAAACAGTTGTGCTGAGAGCATCTTTGTAGAGCTACTGATCAGAGCTACAAAAGCGGTGCATAACCAGCATCCTTGAGGTGCATCCAGGTTGGATATTAGGAGCAGTTTCATTGGAGGCAGTGGCACAGCTGCCCAGGGAGTGGTGGTGTCACCTGGAGGTGTCCCAGAGCCGTGGGCATGTGGCACTGAGGGACGTGGGCAGTGGGCTGGGGTTGGGCTCAATGATCTCAGAGGTCTTTACCAGCCTTAATGATTTCTGTGATAACTTTGGATGTGGCTGCTGGGGCACTTTGCATCGGCCAGTGTTACTATAGCTTACTGCAGTTTGCACAGCTGTATAAGTTTTAGATTTATTAAAAATATAATATAAAATTTTACATGCTTTCACGCTAAGATCAAGAGCTTATAACAGTAAACTGGATAACAAAAAAGTCATAACCTTGTCCTTGACAGCAGGACAAGGGGAAATGGTTTTAAGCTGAGGGAAGGGAGATATAGGTTGGATGTCAGGGGGAAATTCTTTATGGAGAGAGTGGTGAGGTACTGGAACAGCTGCCCAGGGAGGTTGTGGATGCCCCATCCCTGGAGGTGTTCAAAGCCAGATTGGATGGGGCCCTGGGCAGTCTGGTCTAGCATTGGGTGGAATGGTGGTGGCCCTGCATGTGGCAGGGGGGTTGGAGATTCATGATCCTTGAGGTCCCTTCCAACCCTGGCAATTCTGTGATTCTGTGATTCTGTGAAAAACAGATGTGTTAACACAGTTAATTGGAAATAAAGGTGCCTTCCAAGAGACAAGGCTGATGGAGAGGAAGTACACAAGAAACATTACTAAGTTCTACCATGTGTTGTTTTGATGGCTTTTTTCCCTTCCAGTTTTGTTTTTGTTTCTAGAGGATGAATATATTAAACAAACCTAAATTGCCATAGAACTCTGGCAGTTCTGATAGTAATACACACTTGAAAGGCAAGGATAAAGCATTGTGACCTCTGGCTATCCGTAATAAAGATAAGAATTGAGAGTAAGAGCCAAAGAAATTAGCCGAAAATCAAGAGTTAATTCTGCAACTCAGCGTCCCTCTCAGCCATCCACTATTTCTACTTTGTGATGAGATTTCTAACAAATGCTTTGGATCCCATAGGCATAGATGGGCTGTTAATATCAGAATATTAGCAGACTTTTCCAAGTCCTCCTACCTTAGCTGGTGTGCTGACGAGGCAGCAGTCTTCCCTCACCACAGGTAGGGTTTGTAATGCTTCCACAGGATCCCAGAGTCCTGCAGCTGTTCAAGGAAATGGTGAACGTGGTTAAGGTAGTGTTGCCAGGTACAGCCTTAGAGAAGGAAGACTTAGCTTCATATCCTTACTACAAACTTCAGATTTTTTTTTTTCCTCATCTAAAAACAGTGTTTGGGCCTTGCATCCAAGCACGTAAGTTTCATTTCATTTAAAAAATGCTGCATTGATAAGGCAGGAGCAGTATTTTGCAGGAAAGTGCTGCTTTGGATAAGGAGCGAGAATGCATGAGGTGTCGGGTTCACTTCTTTGGGTGAATTAGCAGATTCATTACTCTGGATTTTGGCAAGTAACTATTTATAGGATGATCAGTGAAGCTAGCTTCAGACTTCATTTATAAATAGATGAGCATACATTTTCCTTCTATGCCAGAATTTTCCGAGCTGCAGTTTCATGCTTGCCTTGTTCTGATGAACATTGCTAGTGAATTGTGGAAGGGCATCAATAGAGGGCTAATGAAACTGCATTCAGCAATAGATTCACCTTCCCAGTTAGCAAACACAGCTTATCAATTCCCATTTTGAAAGTGATGGAGGAATTGTGGATTCTATTTGCCTGCACACAGGCAAAACGCTGATGACCCTGCTGATAAAGAGACTTTGGACTTCTACAATACTTAAGCATGTTTTGTGTGCAGTTTGAAAGTCAAATGTTATGAGAGGATGACTGAGAGTGGAGTTCAGAAGAAACTACAGTCTGTGCTCATAGCCACTAAAATCTGGTTTTGGCTGTTTCTGCCTTTTTTGCCAGGTTCCTTCTGAACCTCACATCACTGGAAGTTCTTTGTGATCGGAGCAGTCCCATACCAGGCAGACAATGACCAAAGGATGAGAGAGAAAGGCCTCAAGTTGCACCAGGGGAGGTTCAGGTTGGCTGTTAGGAACAATTCCTTCTCCCAGAGAATGGTGAGGCAGTGGCACAGCTGCCCAGGGAGTGCTGGGCTCACCTGGAGGTGTCCCAGAGCCGTGGGGATGTGGCACTGAGGGACGTGGGCACGGTGGGGGTGGGTTGGTGGCTGGACTGGATGATCTCAGAGGTCTTTTCCAACCTGAATGATTCCATGATTCAGTGATTCTATGATTCAGTTTTCATTGCTGAGAGTTCAAAATAAAGAAGGCACATATTGTAGGCCAGAACATTTTCTTGGAAGCAGGTGAGAGATCTCTGCTAAATGATGTTCAAGCTTTTGATCCCCATTCCTCTTCTGATGCATGAGCCGCACTGACACCTTTTAGTACATAGAACTCAAACTGCTCCACAAAGGTTCTTCTGAAAGGGAAAGGAACTTATATGTCACAGAAGTGCTCTGTATTACTTGCTCCTCATTAAACGTCAGACTTTTGGGGGAAACATTTAATCTGTAGTCAAATGTGTGTGTCCAGGTCGTACGTGCAAGCCTGCAGCAGCTCTCATTTTGCTAGCTAAGCCCTAACAGCAGGATAGCCCTGGTAGTGCACAGCTTGGTGTGCTGTGAGTGCTACTCTGCTTTGCAGGGAGGTTTTGTGCATTGCCCTTGGGCCCCCACTGCTGCAGCCAAGCTATTATTGGTGCCTGAGCTGGCTGGCGTAAACCTACTTTGTGTCTGTCTGTGCAGCTTCAGGCATACCTTTGTCTGCAGTTGTAGACATTCTCTGTGATAGGGTTTCTGCCGTGTGGAGCCTGCAGGTCATGCAAGTTGGTCCCAAGATACTTATTTTATTTGTTAATGTACTGACTCAAACACAATGGAAATATCTGCAGGGATGTTGTGGTACGCTGGCCCTGTGCCTCTACCAGCTCTTGCTAATGCTTCCTGTTCCTCCCCAACGCTGCAGGCCCAGCACCAGGACTCCTGCCAGGACTCCTCCTGGACGCTGAAGATTGCTGTGATGCTGGCGCAGAGTGCAGGAAGGCCATCTTCTCTTCACACCGTCAGCATTTCCACTGCTGACTTTGGTGGCGTGGGAAGCAGAGAGCAACTGGTGAAGGCCAAGGCAAAGGTAAAGTGCTGTATGCTTGGGTAATATTACAGGGGTTGATGTATTGGATCCACGGCAAAGCAGGCCCTAAGCACACTGGAGGCTTGAGGTAGAGAAAATGGTGATGATGGCATCCGGGTGAGGGGAGTAGGTGGTAATGTCCACATCACTGAACTATTCAGGCCCAGGATCACAGATCAGCTGCAAAGGGACCCCTAAAGGCCATCCATTCCAATCCCCTGCAGTGCACAGGGACACCCACAGCTCCAGCAGTGCTCAGAGCCCCGTCCAGCCTGACCTTGGCTGTCTGCAGGGATGGGGCACCTCCATCTCTCTGGTCAACCTATGTCACTGCCTCACTGCCCTTACTGTCAAAAACTTCTTCCTTATATCCAATCTAAGTCTTTCTTCTTTTAGTTTGAAAATCAAGGTTTTGGCCTGGGTATGACACAGCTACTGCATTATTTGGAAACAGAAATACACCTGTGAGCAGATGATGGGAACAGGTTCAATCAAAGTTCACCTTCAATCAAAGCTGATTGAAGGTGAGGGTGTAGCACAGAGCTGGGTGCTGGTAGGGTGGTGAGAAGATGTAGTTTTGTGAAGAAATGTGCACAGTGGAGAAGCCATTGTGCTGCTAAACAGGCTGTGCACGTAGTGAGGAAGTGAAGATTTTTTTTTTCCAGTAGGCAAATTATTGCCTATCTTTGATTCTCCTTTCACAGTCTTGGCCAAGTCTGCCAAAGTCAGACAAAGCACGAGTCTAGATCTGTGCCTTTGAGCTTCACGATGGGTATAAAACAGGGCACTATGGGTGGAGGAGAGGTGTGCCTTGTGTGAGGAACCTCTTCCTCCTCAGTCACACTGCAAACCTGTGTGACTGGAATCCAGGTAACGCTT